ATGGGGCAAGGGGCCGAGAGGGTGAGTGGCGAGGAGCCGAAGGTGCGAGGGGCTGAGGGGGCAAGGGGTCGAGGGGGGTAAGGGGCAAAGGGGCCGTGGGGGTGAAGGATGATGGGTCGGAGGGGCAAGGGGGTAAGGGGGCGAGGGGCCGAGGGGGCTAGGGGGCGAGGGGCCGAGGGGGCTAGGGGGTGAGGGGGCGAGGGGGCGAGGGGGTGAGGGGGCGAGTGGCTGACATTTCGTCTTGAGAAGTCAAACGCAGGTGTCGTAGGGGAGGGCGCCGCCGTGGCACAAGTGGTAGCGCGCCGAACTGTTGATTAGGAAGGGCATCCAATCAGGCAAGGATGGAACTGCCAAAAACCTCTCAATTCAGTGACCTGAATGGCTGTTAAAAAAAAAACTATATATATATATATGTGTGTGTGTGTGTGTGTGTGTGTGTGTGTGTGTGTATGTATGTATGTATGTGTATATGTGTGTGTACAAGTGTGTGTGTGTGTGTGTGTGTGTGTGTGTGTGCAAGTGTGTGTGTGTGTGTGTGTGAGTGTGTGTGTGCAAGTGTGTGTGTGTGTGTGTGTGTGTGTGTGTGTGTGTGTGTGTGTGTGTGTGTGTGTGCAAGTGTGTGTGTGTATGTGTGTGTGTGTGTGTGTTTATTTATTTACATTTATTCATCGATGCATATCGCAAAGCATCCAGACTTAGAAATGTCAACTAAAGCAAGTGGCCTCGGCGAGCGTCTGGCGTGGGAAAGGACTCGGCGATCGTCGCGAGGGAAGCGAGAGCGTTGGAGCGCCAAGGACGGGAGCAGCAGCTGCAACTTGACCTAAAAACAACACTGAAAAGCTCAGAATGAATCGCCAGCTATTAACGCGAATGAGCAGACACAAAGCTCCGCAGAAAAGTGCCAAATGGGAGATTATAAAGAAGACAATGGCATGATCACTACGAATATAATAATATTATCGACAAATCAAAAAGATGAAGCAAGAAATATTTTTAAAATAGTGTGTTTCATGACGGGGAAAAGAGCTAACAGAGGGATGATGTGCAGGGCTGTACTTTCGCCAAAATATTATTAGAACTGGGATTTGCTCTTCGTGTTTACAGAACAAACATGTGAATTTTAGTACCTCATTATACTCAGTAACAAGTTAGGAGATACTGTTCTAGGAAAACGTTATTTCTGATTATATTATATTAATGATAAAGGTGATTCAAAGTACATTTTTAACAAAAACATTTTTTTCTCCAATATCATTTTTCTACAAATCGTCACTTGTTCAAATTCTCTTGGGTTCACTTTGATCTTCCCAAGGTCTAATGAACGCGACACTCTTGCCAAAAGAAAACACATCACTCGAAGGTTAGCTGAAGAGGCACTACAATTTACACAAGAGACATACACGTGTAAACAATGAAACACATTCTCATGCATGCATACATATATTATATATATATATATATATATATATATATATATATATATATATATATATATATATATATATATATATATATATATTTATATATATAATATATATATATATATATATATATATATATATATATATATATATATATATATATATACATATATATATATATACACACACATATATATCCAATATATATATATATATATATATATATATATATATATACATATATACATATATATATATATATATTATATGTGTGTGCGCGCGCGTGTGTGTGTGTGTGTATGGATATGTTTAAATATATACATATACATATATAGATAGATAGATAGATAGATAGATAGATAGATAAATATAGATATACAGATAGATAGGTATATATATATATATATATATATATATATATATATATATATATATATATATATATATATATTTATATATATATATATATATATATATATATATATATATATATATATATATATATATATATATATATATATATACATACATATGTATATTATCAAGGACAGATAGTTCAGAATTGAATAGCTGTAGCCCTTTTCATCATTTGTTTCCGTTACCTGCCAGCCGTTTCGCTTCAGCCATAGACAGATTTCTTGGAAATGATCAGTATGCCTAAGTCTTCCACTCCTCCATTTCCCACGGCCATGCCCATTAGCAGGATGCTAGCAATCTCTCCGTAGCACATGCCCCAGAAAAGCTCATTTTCTACTAAGCAGGATGTTTAGCAATCTGTCGGTGGTATTGATTCTATTCAGAACTTTGTTATTAGTAATTTTCTCATAATTCAGAACTTCTGACTCTCTTCTTGTCTGTGTTTTTTGAGTCCCCAACATTCAGAGCAATGTGATGCGGTTGAGAAGACTAGGGTGTTCAGGATTCTCAGCTTAATTTCCAGGCTAATGTTCTGTCTTTCCAGATGTTGGTGAAAGCTATTGTGGCGTTTTTGGCTGTTACAATTCTTCTTTTAATTTGAAGGTGACAAGGCTCCAAGGTAAATGATCTGGTTAACAACTTCACTATCTTCATGATTTTAG